TATACATACATAAGATTTGTATATATAAAATAGATATAATGTATACGATAATAATATATAAAATTGTGGTATTATAATGTGTGTGTGTATATAAAAAAAATATTAAACTGTATATGACAGTGATCTAGATAATGTGTGTATATATATATATATATATATATATATTAATTATATAATATATAGATATTAATAAAAATGTATCAGCGACTGTGAGTTTTGCAAAACTTGTCATAAGAATATTTTATTAATGTTAATGTTAACCCCATCAAGAATATTTTAAAACACTGAACCATGTGTTCAGCTTTAATGGCTGTACGCCTAAGATTTACAGAGGAAAAAATCGTGAGAATGAGTTTAGTATTCAGCTATGACTGATTAAACGCACATATACTTCATTACTCCTGACAAACAGGTTACACTGAGTGGAGCGGTCGACCGTTCCAAGATGGCGGCCCTACGGCTCGTCATGCTGTATCTAGTGTTTATATCTATGAATGAACGCCATATGACGTAAAAAGATGCATTCAATGACCAAAAATAAAAAACCCAACCAAAAGAAAAGCAGTCTTTCAACATTTAGAAGGTATTCAAAAAGCGTTCAATACAATAACAACTGGACTTTATTTGTAACAGAAGACGTTTCGCTCCTCATCCGAAGAGCTTTCTCAAAGCGTGTGAGTGAGGGATTCAGGTTATTTGAATTGAGAAAGCTCCTCGGATGAGGAGCGAAATGTCTTCTGTTACAAATAAAGTCCAGTTGTTTTCGTATTTAAGCTTTTTGAATTCATCATGTCTTGGATGACTGAGAATCTTCACCAGCATATTTAGAAGGTAGTTTTAAAACGGCGTTCTGGTGGGATTTTCGCTGTAATTTACGGCGTCCTGATTCATGAAAATGCGTTTTTGGCTTTTCCATAGTCAGACGCAATTTGTATAAGTTTTGGCTTGCCACAGTGCGCGCACGACGAAACCGCGTGATATGTTACGGTAGTGATATGATTGGGTGTTACGTTCTCAGCTGCTCTCTGATTGGTCAAAGCTCCTGTCAGTCAGTTCTGCCGGAAGCCGGTTTTTGTACTGGCCTGATCCATCCGCTGTCACAGTCGTCGCTTGCCAGAACATCACTCCACTGTTCCCTCAGTTCGTCGCGGATTCTGCCGTGGATATTTTTTCCATTAAAAGGTAAACATGCGTATTTGAAATTGTAGTTACTGTTGAACGAATTAATATTAAGTAATACGCTGAATTGGAATGCTCTCGGCCCTTATCTCGATTAGGTCTTCCTGTTTCCATAGTTTAACTAATTTATCTGAAAAGCGGTCTGTGTATTTGAAAATGTGGGATAAAAGAGTGTGTTCGTGTTCTGATGAACATTGTCCTGCTACTTTTGTGGGCTTCTCATTGATTGAAAATTGTGTTGCTGCTAGCTTTAAGTGGCCATAGCCTGAGAGAAGTCTTCCTGGTTTTGTGTTTGATGCTGTTATTATTCAGCACCACTTTTTATTTAAGTATTTATTTTTGACGTTAGTGGGTCTCACTGCATCTGGCCTTAGGACAAGTCTGTTTCCTCTCCATCATTTCACGCTGAGCCTGTCTGAGAGCTTTGAGAACATTGTGTAACACCAAATCAGGGCAAATGTCAGTAAGCACTGCCATGTCATTAGGAGCGTGACTCCTATTTGTTTTAATGGAATTGTAAACATTTATGAATACTTTGAAGAAAGAAACCAAATTATAAAGCTCTTATATCTTAACTTTTTTTCCCTGTTCATCCCTAATCTCCAAGTTCTTACACAACATGAAAAGTTAAAAATTTCCATGTTATGAGGGAAAAAAACAGAGTATTTAAACCAAATGTTTCCAGAATATTTGCTTTTTCTTTCTCTAATACAAATAACTGAATATCAGAATAAATCAAAATTATTTGCTCGACCAGAGAGAGTGCTTTTTGCACCGGCTACATAGATAAATGATCAACATGGTCATTATAAATTAACTTTTGTTTCATCTACAAGCTGTTTAAGGCTTACCTATTTGGATTTATGTGTTACTGGCTTAGCGGCACGGTGGATCAGTTGGTAGAGCTGCCGCCTTTCATTGAGATGGTTGCCAATTCAAATCTCAGCTTGGGACCTCCAAAAATAATCCTAAAAATTCTGGAAAACCATCAAATCTCTCTCTGGCAGCTCCCATTCATCTGACCTGCCATCACAGATCTCTTGTAAATGAGTCCCCAAGGCTCAATGGGACTAACCTGTATAAATAAAGGTTGAATGAATTTGGCCACTTATAAACAGCACTTGGTCACGTCTACATACTTTATCAATTACCAAGTAGAGAATGAAGCTGCTGCTACAAACAGCTTACTGCAGGCTACTAATTAATGATTTAAGTGAGCAAGCTCTTCTACAAGTTCTTCTTGGGGCGGCTGTGGCTGAGTGGTTAGAGCAGTCATCCTCCAATGCAAGAGTTGGGGGTTCAATTCCACCAGCAGTCACATGCTGAAGTGTCACTGGGCAAGACACTGAACCCCTCATTGTCTCCGATGTGTGTCCCATCAGTGTATGAATGTGATAAAGCTCTGATTAGTCTTTGTATAGATCTAGTAAAACGCTGAATGAATGGATGAATGAGGCACAGATTGTTGTAAAGAGCTTTGAGTATCTTGATAATATAGAAAAATGCTATTTAAGGACAGTCAACTTAACATTTTACATTATTTTTAAGTGTACAGGTTCTTCTAATCATACATTTATAATTTATAATTGCTTTAGGTATAGCAATTATTGATATATTTTGTTGTAAAATAAAAATTGGCCAAAAAAATAAAAAATTGTGTATACCTGATTTAACCTCTGATATTTACAAATTATCATCAGGATCAGAAAAACTTGTATCAGTCAACTTATAATGCTCATACATTTTTAAAGTTTTTGTTTTAGATATTACTCACGTGATAGAACATGTTTAAAAATGGTTAACCTTGTTTTTGTAGACACAACTAAGTAAAATGTGCATTTGTAAAAATACCTTCTAGTTTTATTTTTTGTTTGTCTTTATTTGTGTTTTTGCATAGCACAGTTTATACATATAAAAAAGTCAAACTGTAGAAATTTGACAAATTCCGAGTAAACTCGTGTAGTTTGAAGGAAAATATGAGCTGAGAATGAACTAAAAATTCTGTAAATGTAGTGTGGATTAGTGTAAATGAAAACTGTAGGAATGCTTCTACTCACAAATATTTCTTGGTATTATTCACTTGTGTTGTTTTTTGGACTTCCCATTTAAGAGGATGGAGTTAATCTGACAGAGCATTTTAATTGCTGAGTCACTGCTCTGGCTATTTTCAGATCATGTTATGGATGAATTTATCCACAAAGCCTTTTTTCTACAATGCAAACAAAGTGAAAAAAAAAAACATGAAATCAGTGCATTAATTTTGTAGACTAAAAGAAAAAAAAAAAAAAATTCTGGGAGACTGATTATTTTTAATTTTCATTTTGTTTGAGCTGATCCTCTTCCCAATGTTTATGCAGCAACTCTTAAGATGTCTCGGAAGATCAAGGCTGGGTCTGTGGTGGAGATGCAGGGCGATGAGATGACTCGGGTCATCTGGGACCTCATAAAGGAGAAACTCATCTTCCCATACCTGGAACTAGACCTGCACAGGTAACATCCTTTTTACAAACAACAAACTTTTCCTCAAATGTCCAATGTACCAAAAACATTAACATAAGAGTAATTATTTTGGTCAAATCATTATATTATATATCATCTTTACCACATATATAATGTAGATCCTAACTGAGTGAAACCTGAGCCTGATGCTCCCATTACCTCCAGCATAATTCTTGGCCCGTAAAAATAAATTATTCTCCGTGGCTTGCGTTTAAATGTTTACTTAAAAATGAAACATGCACAGTAACAAAGTAAGCAAAAACAACTTATCCATGAGTTGGTAATTAAACAGAAAAAGAGAGAGGGAGGTCAAAAAACTGTTTGGCTTCACTCTGTCTGGAACTTTCTCTCCTGCCCTGCCCCACCCACATCACATGACTTAAATAAACATGTTACCAACCTCAAACCAACAAAGATATACACAAAAAGCAAATAGCTTCAGTTATACATATAATCTTTACAACATTTATTTTAGGCTCCTAAATAAATTATCATACAGTATATCATATTTGGTCTCTCCTCTCTGCTCCTCATCATCACTGACATTATCAACTCCTCTTTTCCCCCTTGTATTGTTCCAGTAGCTTTCAAATCTGCTGCCATTACTCCGATCATAAAAAATAACTTCAGTAATCTCTGTTTTATCTCTAATCTAACTTTTCATTTACAAAATCCTTGAAAAAGTAATCACCAGTCAAATTTGCTCTTATTTATCAAAAAACAGCTTATGTAAACAATTTCAGTCTGTTTTTTACCCTCACTATAGCACCAAAACTGTCCACATAAAAAGTACAAATTATCTTCTCACTGCTGACTCTGAACTTCTGTCCATCCTCGACCTGAGTGTGGCCTTTGACACCATCTCTCATTTGATCCTGCTCAACAGACTAACCCATCAGCATTTCTGCTGCTCCCTTTGACTGGTCCTAATCTTATCCCTCTGGGCACACTCGGTTCATACAACTTCAATTTTTCCATTGTCAGTCTCCCCCATCTCTACTGGTGTGCCCCAAGGTTCTGTCCTTGGGCCCTTCCTCTTCATTATTGACCTTTTTCCCCTGGATCATATTTTCTGTAAATTTGGTATCTATTTTCACTGTTACACAGATGACACCCAGCTCAACTTGTTTACCAAACCTAATTCTACACTCCCACCTTCTGTCATCTCAGACTGTCTAAGTGAGCTCAATTACTGGTTTTCCTACAATGTTCTCCAAACAGATTTCATCTTGTCTGTTTCAAAATCGTTGGTTACGTACTGTAACCCCAGATTCTATGAATATAGGCTTAGCCCTTTAAGGCTGTCGCTGATGGGTTTATCCCGTTATGCGCAGCATAAGCACTGAAAAAATTTAGTCCACGCCCACCTGCTGTGTGGGCCCCACCCGGTCCGTATAAATTACGTTAAGAGCGGGAAATCGGCTCCCAAAATAGCTTTTTCTTCAGCCATTTAGGAGCCAGTGAGGCCCAACGCTTAAAGGGCTACGCCTATATTCATAGAATCTGGGGTTACAGTACGTAACCAACGTTCTATGTCATATAGGCTTCGCCCTTTAAGGCTGTCGCTGATGGGTTAAGGGCGAAGCGGATGTGGTCCTCGCCTCACTGGGTCCATTCGAACACAGAAAGAAGCGGAAGCTTGCCCAAAAAAAACGTCTTGTCACTCAGCTCCCCGTGTGCATAACTACGCATCGCGTAATTATGTGCCATGCACAGACGCATGTTGTGTAACTATGCGTTCTGACAAAGCATGAACGCCCTGGAAAACTTTCAACGGGGAGAAGATGTTGAAAAGGGGGGGGGGGCATGAACCAACTGGTTCATGGCTGAACAGTATAAACAGATTAATATCAATGAACTGATTATTGATCAAATGAACTGATTGGTAACAATAGTCATGAACTGATTAGTGACAATAGAACCAAAATCACAGACACAACTTGTGACTGATAACAACATCTCACACTGTAATGCATGCAGACAGAAGTGAGCTTAAACAGAGTTCCATGAGAACAACAATATTCATTCTGTTAGAGCACTAAGGACATAATGTGTCATGGAACGAGCCGTCACATCACGTAGGTAAAAGCGAATAAATGAGCAGGGTGTTGACCATGCAGCCGCAGTGCAAATGTCCTGCATTGACATACCATTATGCAGAGCAGTCGAAGATGCGATACCCCTGGTGGAGTGTGCTTTAAGGTTGACAGGAGGCTCTAAATCTGATGCTCTGTAGGCTTCAGAAATGGCCTCACACAGCCAGTGTGACAAGCGCTGGGTGGATAACGGGTGACCTGCAAATGCATCTCTATAATGCACAAACAATTGTTGAGTTTGACGCATTGCAGCTATGTAACACGTCAACGCCCGCACCGGACAGAGAAGATGAAAAGATGCTTCTTCTTCTGATCTGTGGGGGGGGTGGAGAAACCCCTCCAACGATATCACTCTTGATTTAAAAGAGCTCGTGATGTTTTTAGGCATAAAAGCTGGGTTTGGTCTTAAATCAGCTGAGCTGCCCGTCAGCCTGAATTCTAAGACATGACGGAGCAACAGAGAGGGCAGATAAATTACTTACCCTCTTAGCGGGTGTTAAAGCCAGTAGCAGGGCTGTTTTAAGAGACAAGAATTTAAGTGAAAACCTGATCCAGAGGCTCAAATGGAGCTTTGATCAGGGCTCGCAGGACCAGCGTTAAATCCCACTGTGGAACAAGTGGACGTGAAACAGGCCTGTGTCTTTGTACACCTTTTAGAAACCGCTTCATCAGCGGGTGATTAAAAGCTGTTCTGTCTCCGAACCCTTCGTGGCAGGAAGAGATGACTACAACGTACGTTTTAAACGTACTGAATGCCAACTTCCTATCCATCAGCTGTTGTAGAAAAGACAACACGCCGCCTAATGGGCATGAGGTGGCCTCTATACCTTTCTCTGGACACCAGCGCTGAAAAGCCGTCCCCTTTGATGTGTACAGAGCTGTGGTAGATGCAGCACGTGAATCTTGAATTGTGCACACTATCTCCTGAGGGAGACCCATCCTCTCTAAGCGGGACCGCTCAGCGGTCAGACCCACAGGTGCTGACCTATTTCTGGGTAACTCCTGATCGCTCCTCCTGCTTGAAGGAGAGCATCCTCCCTCCACGGCAGTTTCCACGGACGACCCGACAACAGACGTTGCAGGACTGGGAACCATGGTGCGTTCACGCGCTCGGGAGCCACCAGGAGGGCTGTCAACCCCTCCTCCTGAACTCGGTTCAGGAACCGTAAAATCAGAGGAGGTGGGGGAAACGCGTACAGAAGCGTTTTGGGCCACGGGCTGTGAGCAAATTCATCCACCCCCAGCGGTGGATCGTCTCGCGGGCTCAGGGAAAACCATAGTTGACACTGAGCGTTCTCTCGCGTCGCAAACAGGTCCACAGCTGCTTTGCCAAACTTCTGCCACGTCTGAAACATCAGGTCTGGATGGAGGGTCCAGTCCGCGTGACGTGGGCCGCCCCTGGACATCACATCTGCCCCTCTGTTCAGAACACCGGATATGTAAACCGCTCTGATGGAGAGCAGGTTTTGGTGAGCCCAACACAGTAGCTTTCGCGCAATGTGTAACATCTGGGCTGAACGCACATCCCTTGGCGGTTTATGTACGCAGCAGTCACCATGTTGTCTGTGTGAATCAACATGTGTTGATTCTGTAGCACGGGAGCAAAGTGTTGAATCACATTCAGCACTGTGCAACACTCCAAAACATTTATGTGGGCTGATGTGTGGTGGGGCCACAGCGCCCTTACTGCTTGGGATAGGCATGTCCCCCCCCAACCTGACAGTGACGCGTCCGTGAAGACTGACACGTTTGACGTGGGACTGCTGACGGGAACTCCCTCTGACAGAACCAGAGTGTTTCCCCAGTGTCGGAGGTCTGCTCTCACAGAGGAAGGGACAATGATCATCCGTCTTTTTGTTTTACTGGATCCACACGCAGACGCGCAAACCACCTCTGGAGGCGTCTCATGTGTAACAAACCCAGCGGAACCACTGTGTGAGCTGATGACATCATTCCCAACAGCTTCATGACGGAGACAGCTGTTATCACTTGCCAGGTCTTACGTGGCGGAGTTGACTTTTAAAAGTGTCGAATCTCATTTGTGATAAACGAGCCTTCATGGTGGTTGAATTTAATTCCTTTCCCAGATAAACAATCGTCTGGGCCGGGAAAATCAAGCTTCCTTCCAATTTATGGCGAAGCCCAGATTTAACAGGTGTGATGTCAACACCTGATCCTGCATCAGCGCCTCCTGTCTGGAGTGACAGGAGCAGCAGATCATCCAGGTAAAACAAAAACTCTCGTCTCTGTGTTTTGGGATGATCGGTATGCGTTCTCTGGATGTTGTACAACAGGTCCAAAAAAAAATAACGGTCTCATCCCTCCGATCCATGAGTAAAACCCCGTGTTTTCTCTCCGTTGGGGGACTCTGGAGATTACTTTTATCAGAAACACTTGGACTTCTGCATTTAGGGATGAGATTTGGTCTGATGATGACAGGGCCGTTTCTATAACTCCTCTGAATGGAGGGGTTCGGGTTGCAAACTGTAACTTGTAACCATTTGCATAACACCCTGTCCATCCATCTGAAAACGGCGAGCATGTTTTAGCCACTCTACATAACGTTCGTAGAGTGAACGTGCGTTTAACACTAGAAGTCCCAGAGAAGGGTCATTTAACATTTCTACCTTTGGAACCCAGAGACAGGTCGAGTGACCTGAAGGATTTTAGCTAACATCCTATAATGAGCTGTTAACAGGCGCTTTTGTTTTGTAAATAAGGCCATTACTGGTGCACCACAGGAGGGGGCACGCTTAACTCCCAACTAACTGTTTTCCATTGAGTTTAGCCATTTAGTTTCTAGTTAGTTATATTCAGTTTATTGTATTTTATAATATTAAGATTTTTTATATATATATTGGTGGCACGTTGTTGCACATTTTGAACAAATTGAAG